GATGCAAATTAAATTAAATCAGTCAAAAGTTTGTCCAAACCTGTGACTGGATTGTGTTTCTGTCACATTTTATAAATGATATACATTTGTTTATATATCATTTATTTGTATATCGGTTTTTGATTTGGGCAGTTTTGGTCCTCCGTAAAGATGAACTACTGACTGCAGTGCTGCATTTGTTGAGTTCATCGCTGATGTTATTTTGAAATGCATGCAGAACGAACCATTGCCTCTGAACTTTCAGGATATGCACATCACCACTGAAACGAAGGGGCAGTCTATAAATATGACCTCTTTTAATTCATTCAATCACTATGCCTGGTGCCTCCAGAGCTTTAATATTTATAAATCGCAAGTCTGACAGTTACTTCTTTCCGAAATGCACTGATTGTTTCTTTACTTTTGTTTCACGCATGTTGTTCTTTACAGTTGGCTCAGTTGGGTATTTGGGCTTTGTAAACTGGTTTTTCACTTACCCGGTCTTGTTTACTAAATGTTGTTTTTCCAGTGATTTTAGTAAGTTCTTACATATTGTTCTTAATACTATCTTATTTTATTTCTTATTACTGAAAAGATGATGCATCACTACTATTTTAAAAAGGGTTGCAGGTCTCGTTTAAAGTACCATATTTCAGCCTGCTTACACCCCAAGTACTGACTGTTATATTTAAGCAGTGAAGTATCTCTTGTGTAATCTTCTGACTCCACATACGTGCAAAAAGCAGGAAGTGTAAATTTGATTGGCATGAAAAGGACACTGTCATCAAAAAAAGTGTTATAATGACATGACATGTCACATGCCTCGCCTTTTTTATTTTTATTTTTTAATGTCACCTTTGGTTAGCCAAAGAAATAAAAGCCACTCCTTTTCTTTAGCACAACATCACCCAGTTTGCACTCTAACATATAAAAATCATTTGAAAACCTTGACTGTCTTTTTATAAGCAAACTACATGTATGTTTTGTGCCTTATGGTCATTCTTTTCATGAGAAACACGACTGCTTTTTGTTAACCTTTTCAAAGTAAAAGGGAACTTTAAAAAATGAGTGCAAGTGCTGGTTCTTTCATTGTTGTTGTTGTTGTTGTTGTTGTTGTTTACAACGGAGCTCTCTGATCGTCTCATCGTCCACTTTCACTCTCACGCGATCTCACACATGAACCCCAAATGTCATCATTCCCTGACTTCAAACCAAAAACTGCAAAATAAATAAGGCATATTTAAAGTAATGGAACTAACACACGTACAGAGATTCCTTCATTTATGAGTGGGATGTGAAAAGAGGAAGAATTTTTAAAAGAGGAAGATCGCAGAGAGGGTTCATGATTGCAGGGATGTGGTATGGCTACGGGCAAATGATGTCCTGTGGTGACCTCTAAAGGGAGCAGGTGAAAGAAAAACAAGTCCGATGTCAATATTTAACTTAACAAATTGGGTTTTTAAAATGTTGCGTGGTGTGTTTGGGGGTTTGATTGCATTTGGCAGCAGATTACTGGAGCCACTTGGTGGGAGTGTTGATCCTCTGTCTAATAGCCTCATCCAAAATGGACAGCATACCAAACAGACAGAAATAAGAGACTTAAATTTAAGTTTTTAGGAATACCATTTAGTGATTACGTGTAGGCACACGAAGGCAACATTTCAAGAAAGTATTTTAACATTTGAAAACACACTGGTCACCTCACTTAATTTTCTTTTTAAGTAGTAATTTAGTGTGGAACAACCAGGGTCTAAATTGGGGTGGGGAACTCCAGGCCTTGAGGGCCGGTGTCCTGCTCGTTTCAGATCTCACCCTGAGTCAACACACCTGAATCAAATGATTAGTTCATTACCAGGCCTCTGGAGAACTACAAAACGTGTTGTGGAGATCATTTAGCCATTTGAATCAGCTGTGTTGGATCAAGGACACGGTCTAAATAATGGTCTAAATAATAGAAGCTTAGGCTGCTGCCCCCGCGACCCGGCCCCGGATAAAGCGGATGAAGATGGATGGATGGATGGATAATAGAAACAGTGATATCGAAGTTGTATGCTGGCTGACTGGAGATCTTGAATAAATAATTTTACTTTTAGCATTTAATTTGTAGTACATCATCTTCATTCCCTGAAATCTTTAATACACTGTAGATTTTGCCCTAATAATTCCCATACACTGAATACATTTTACTTCTGTTGTCCACAATGTTAAAAGCATCCACTTACCATAGTGTAAGTGCCTTTTGTGCCCCCAAATGTTGTCAGTGCCTCTACTACTTGCAGTGTCGTGTGGTGCACTGTCAGGGAGTGGCAGCTATGTTGTGAAGGTCTACAAAGTAAAATCCACATGAATGCCAGGAGAACTCTGCACTGTAAAAGGATGCACAGTATACTTCACACTTCAGAGGTGGTCAGAGTGCACTGAAACAGTAAAACAGCTCGAAAGTCTTCTTTATTAGATTTGTGGTCACAGAGTCCTGCTTGTTGGCTTGCAGGGTGACATAACTGACAGGAATTCCTCCACATCTTTGAACTTTACTCTAACCCAGAGACAAGAACAAAAAAACAAACATAGCCACATCCGATGTGATACATGGAGGAGTGGTTAACCCCTGACTGCCTCTGTAAGGCAATAAGAGCTTATTCAAAAAACAGAAAGAAAATCACTAATGAGAGCCTCTGATAGACGAACAATGACACAGTAAGCCTGCCAGTTCTAGATCACAGAGGCCTCAGTGTGTGGAGGAAGGAGACCCGGCAGAGCATCAAGCTTTAGTGTGGGGTGGACGGTTTACCCATACCTCATTAACCTCCTTACAGTAATGCCATTGAATACTCCCATTTTGTCTCGTCGACATGCAGATTACATCCTAAGTACCTAAAATGCTCTCCTTTTTCATGCTGCGATGGCACAACTTGGTCTTAGGAAGCACAATGTCACAAACCACGTATAAAACATGATTTGTTTTTTTTTTATAATTGCACAGAAAATTTTTTTTTGAATGCACACCACATTTCAAAGATTGTTGCCATTTAAAAAAAAAGGAAAAAGATTTAGGTGAGAAATGTCATATGACTCATCCCGCCATTAAAGATACAGTCGATCATTGTTTCAACCTTATGTGATTAAAAAAAAAAGAATGTTTTACTAAAAAATATAGATCGATTTGTGTGTATTTACGTCTTCCAACAAACTGATGCGTTCACATAAACTTGGTAATAATCCATTAAAAATGCATAAGAGCAGGCCAGTTATTGGAAACCGCTATGTTGCCCGCCATCTTGAATACAGTGGCCGAGCTGGACATCCTGGTTCTGACTAATTACATTTTATGTATGTGAGCAGAAACTAGCATGTTTCTGCTCACATACATAAAAAGCATGTCAAATTGATATGGTCTCAATTTTGTTATTGTCAACAGAATAGAAGTGCGACCGTCCCCACTCTGAAAAGCTGACAACAAGCCAGCTGAAAAAAAACCCAACAAGCACAGGTTATAAGCTAATATTACACCAGCTATGTTTGCCTTGAGTGTCATAAGAACCTTTGACTCTAATACTGAACGAGCAGGGAGAGCTCAGAAAGCTTACTTTTAAGGAAACTGATCTTGATCTTCAGTTGAATGGAATTCAAGTAGTTCCCTCCTTGTCCGTACTCAGCCTCTCCACCAGGATTCGTTACATTCTGTTCCGTAGTTTTATGTCATCTGTCTTAAAGACAAAACAAGGGAAGAGAAAAAGAATGGGGAATAGAAACTAATGGCTGGCAGTCTTTAAAAGCTTAAACTAAAGACAAACGAACAACCTTAAAACAGATACACATCTACGTTAAGACACAAACACGTAAACATATACGTGTAAAGTCTGCATTCTCTCCTGCTTACACTTATGATCAATTAACAAATCACCTAGTTAGACTAATTACATTTTTAACCAATTCAACATCTATTTTAATGAGTTACTGCACTGGCATTTCATAAGTAGTACACAAAAAACTGACACGAATGTTTTGACCAGACAATGGCAGTTAGATAATAAAATATTAGGGGGTGCTCATGAACTCACAAATCATACTAAAGGGAACATAACAAATTTCATATCAAACATATGTCAAAGTAACTACAAATGCTTAGTGGTATTAAGGTCACTCACGGTCAGCTAGACTGAACAACCAATAAAAGAAACTAAAAGAAATAAAGCAAAACATGGATTCTCACTTCCTGCAATTAGTGAGAGGAACTAAAAGAGAGGCCAGTTTGTCTGATATTGTGCAGTCATGGATAAGCAATCCATAATGTGGGACCCAAAACAAATGATCCCCTCTGAGGAGGATTTCAAAGAATGTGCATAAAGGAATAGCTAATGGTCCTCTCGCTCATATGACAATCCCACCTTTCATGTCACATGTGCTGGGTTAACAGCACATGTGACATGAAAGGTGGGATTTCTCCTACATCAGTGATAGTAAAATGCATATTTCATGAGAATGTGGAAATAAGTGCTAATAAGAACTGGTGGTTCTAAGGTGCAAAACAAAAAACACACCACTTTGTTTAATTCATGTGTTTTCTCAATGAAAGGGTTTCTTTTATTCTGATTTTGAGGGCAGCGCAGTGGTCACCTCACAGCAAGAAGTTCCTAAGCTTGATTCCTAAAGCCAGACCAGGCTCCAGCCCCACCCACAGCGCTGATTTAGATCAGCAGAAGAAAACGGATGGATGGCTCTTTTGTATATTTGTATGTACATCAAGAGCAAAAAAAGAAAAGAAGCTGAGCCATATACCTGTTCAATAAATCTTTTTTCATACAATTAAAAAAAAATAAATAAATAAAATTTCACTTTTTAATTTCATTTAAAACAAATTCTATTCTTTGTCTTGCATGTTTCATTTTGGCACCATGGGACTCCATCCCAGCTCACGCTTTGCATCGCAGTTTGCATCATCTAGATTAGCCACCTGTCGTAATCCACTGTGTCATTTTAATCCTACTTTGAGTGTTTTTTCTTCCAGTAACTCCTCCCCTCGTGGTCCTCTCTGTCCCTGCTGTCTCCTCTGCCACTCGCTGTAGGTCTCTGATCCTGTCTGCTCGAGGTAAGGCTGCTCAGCTCTAAATCAGTCGATAGACAGATAAACACAGACAAATAATATATGAGCACTTTGAGGATATTTGTATCATATTTTGTGTAGTAACTAAAAATCACGTTAAAAACAAAATATTTTTGCTTTGATGTCAATTGACAGAAACCTTGTTTTTTACTTTGATTAATACGTCTTTCATAGTTTAAATGAAGGGTTTATGCATTTGTGCTAAGTTTCTTCTATTGTTTGCTGCACTGCAATTAGGTTTGAATTTTGCTCTCTAAAGAGCCTAAAACACTCACTGAAGAGAAACTTCAGCACCTGTGTCATGATTCTTGGTTAAAGAGCTTTAACTCAATTATAACAATTATTTGGCTTTATACAGAATTGAAACTATTTAAGCAAATTGTTTATATATATATATATATTTATTAACTTTTCAATTAAAAAATGCTTTCAGTCAAGCTGCTTAATGAGCAATACGATATATTAAAGACCCACCTCTTCATTTTGAATGCTATTGCTTCCTCCTGGTGATGTTGTATTTGTGTAGTTCTCAGATTATGTCATACATCATTAATTGAAAGAGCGTCTGCATGGTTTCTTTTTGGTGAATGTGGTCACGTTCTGTTTGTGCCAAATCTTCTTCCTCCACAGTTTTAGCGTCGCCGCTGTGAGACGCTGCAACCATGGCTACTGTAAGTTCAACAGTCCAGAGTGCTTCAGTCTCACTTTATCTCTGTTTACGGCAGTTAGGTCAGTTTCTGGCCTCAGTTCAGTGGTTCAGTGTGGGCTAAAAGCATTAGAGGGCTTTGAGGTCTAACTGTCAGCACATGATGCTGCTTAGTATTGTTATTGTGCCAGTAAATGCTGGCTCCGGGATGGGTCCTTAAGCTGTTTTTAAGAAATGGCTTTAGAAGTCCTTTCTGCGATCATGTGAAGCAGATTAACCAAACGTTCGCTGGCATGCATCGTTTGGAGTCCGCAGGTCCTTGGACCCATTTTTTGCACAATTAATGCATACTTTTATTTTTATTTGAAAACTACTAAAGCCTGAAACGATGAGGTAAAACACAAACAATAAAGGAGGATTTTAACGTGGATTTTTTTGTCATGCAGACTGGTACTTTTCGCATGGTGTCAGAGGAGGAGCAAGCAATGAGGTCAAAGCTGGAGCATTTGACAGTGAAGGATCATGGGCCTGTGTTTGGGCTGTGCCACAAACTGCCTGGCCACACTGTGCAAAAGGTAAAGTAAGCATAGTTTCTAATGGCAGCAAATACACGAG